CCTAATCAGCTCCGTCTCATCAATATCACTTGTATGTGCTTGTTGTCCCTCTCACCATGCCCACAAGTCTCATCTCTTCACTTCTACCTACCCAACTACCCACACACACAGGAAACTCTCGTACAACAATTTGACAGGCTCCATTCCCAACAGCATATCCTCACTTGTTAATCTAAATTCTCTGTACGAAGCACGTTGTGTATTGCCTACGCCTCAATACCAATCAACTTGTTTCGGCCTCGTGCTGAACATGAGCGGAGTGGTAAGGACCTTGAGCGGGCTTCTTAGGGACTTCAATTTGCGTTCGAATGCATAGTTGTGTTGCTGGCCACAACAACTCATGCCACATTTGTTTCTGTAACCACAAGGACCATTTTTGGTTCTGTTGATTTGTGGGGTTGAAATAAACTCCATAGCAATTATTAGCTTGCAATTGGAGTACATGTACCTCCCTCCCTCTTCATTCTCCTTCCCTCGAGCCGTTGTTTTTCATCGTTTGTCAAGTATCTGGGGGCTTTATTATGGTTGTGAAGCATGTAAGCATTATGGCAACGATCTCAGGATATCCCTGTTGTAATTAGCTGTCGGATCAGCTCTGCATCATTCACATCGCCTGTGTGTGCTTATTTCATTCTCCTGCTTCATCTTGGGCTGTTGTTCTTCATCGCCTGTCAGGGATGTAGAGGGGAATGAAACGATTGGAATCATTTCGTCCTCTCTAGAGGTCTTTCTCAACTTGCAAAGCCTGAAAGTATCACGGCAACAATCTCTGTATATCCCTGCCATGCCATGATTGACTTTGGGATTGACAGCATGAGTTTATGCTCATGTCTAGGTGCACTACCTAATCAGGTCTATTTCGTCATTATCGTTTGTGTGTGCTTGCTGCCCCTTTGCCCATGCCCACATGTCTCATCTCTTCACTTCTATCCATCTACCTACCCACGCACACAGGGATCTCTCGAACAATGCTTTGACGGGCTCCATTCCCAACATCATTCCCTCGAATGAGTTTGGACATCTGTATGAAGCACCTTGCCTATTATCAAATGCCTCTATACGAAGCAATTGTTTAGGCCTCGTTCTAATCATGAGGGGAGTGGTAAGGACCTTGAGCGGGCTGCTTAGGGACGTCAACTTGAGTTCAAAGGGATGGTTGTGTTGCTGGCTGCGATCGGGCAGCATTTGAAACGCATGACCCTCCCTCCCTCTTCATTCTCCTTCTTCTTCATCCCGGGCTATTGTTCTTCATCGTCTGTCAGGGATGTAGCTGAGAATCACTTGAATGGAACCATTCCGCCCTCTCTAGGGGCCTTTTCGAGCATGTAAGTGACATGGCAACAATACCAGAATGCCCCAATCGTGATTAACTGTCTGATGAACTCTATTTCATTGATGTCGCTTGTACGTGCTTATATAATTGGAGTTGGAAACCTCCCCTTCATCTCCTCCTCCATCCCGGGCTGTTGTACTTTATTGTCTTTTTGGTATGTAGATGGGAATCACTTGATTCGAACCATTCTGTCCTATTTAGGGGCTTTAATATTCTTGCAGAGCCTGAAAGTATTATGGCAACAATTTCTGGATATCCCAACCATGATTGGCTTTAAGGTTGAAAGCAATGAAATTACCGTATGGCTAGTTGCACTACCTTGTCAGCTTTGTTTCATCAATATCGCTTGTGTGTGCTTGTTGTCCCTCTGGCCATGCCCACAAATTGCTTTAATGTCATGGCGATTTCTGGTTCTTACAAAAGACAAATCACCTATCAACACGTCTATTGAGCCGTAATCATCTCCTTCCTTTCATCTTAGAAGAATGGAAATGGAAGCCTCTTTGACTCAAAAGATCTCTTACTGGGTCGGTCAAGTAAACTGACCAATTTTTGCTTGCATAGAGCACTCTTGTAGGAGAAAGAACAGTAAATGAATGACCTGGATTCGTTTGGATGGTGTGCCATGGTTCGTGACATGCCTGCCTGTAGGTGTCAGCTTGCCCCTATAGGCTGACCATCCAAACGAATCCAGGTCATATCGCGTCATGGTTCGCGACATGCCTGCCTATAGGGGCAAGCTGACACCATCTTCACATCCATCTGTTCCCACTTGCGGCTTTCCTTGTGTGTGTCCACCGACATGCTCCTTCTCTTCTTTTCCCTTCTCCACTGAAGAATCCTTTCCCGTCACCTGTTTGTCGCTTTTCTCTCATATGTCTCCCTCTTAGCCCCACCACTGTTCCCATTTGTAGTAATGTCAAGGTCGGTGCGGCTGTGCCCATGACTTCGCATTTTGATCTCCCCCCTTTCCATTGCAGCAACGTCACTGGAACAAACCTCACCTGCCCACCTGACAACACCGACTGTGAAGCAACACAAGATCCGCTCTCGGATTTTTGCGGGGCGTGTGGGTCATTTTGTCTGACTTGCGGCAAACCTGCAGGCGAGTGATTACAGCAGATTCTCACCAGAGTAATACTGTGTTGATGATAGACTTACATAAGGCATGCAAAGCACGACAAAAGGCAAAGCTGTGTCTTTGGAGAACCAAAGGATGCGCCAAACCATGGTATGGGCTCTCGTGTGGTATGGGCTCTCGTGTGGTATGCCCTCTCGTGTTGCTTGGCTGCTCTGTGCTTCCGATTTGATCACTGCCCGTTTTCACTGTCTTGAAGCTTTTCGTGGTTAACAGCTTGCTATAATCACCACAGAGTGGTTCTCTGCTTGTGCAGGCCCAATCAAGACGAACAGCAGCAGCAACAGCAGCAGCAAAGGCAGTAGCAACAGCACCAACGGCAGCAGCAACAGCACCAACGGCAGCAGCAACAGCACCAGTGGCAGCAGCAACAGCACCAGTGGCAGCAGCAACAGCACCACCGGCAGCAGCAATAGCACCAGCGGCAGCAGCAACAGCACCAGTGGCAGCAGCAACAACACCACCGGCAGCAGCAACAGCACTAGTGGCACCAGCAACAGCACCAACGGCAGCAGCAGCAGCGTGACTACTTCACCAGCAGCATCTGGAGGTGGAAATCGAGTGTCGGTGGGGGAGTTGGCATTGCTGTTGCTGCTGTGGTCATTCTCCTGCTTCTGGGACCCACTCTGCTCTTCTTGATGCAGAGGAAACTTTTGAGGCAGAGGCGACTTTTGAGGCGCCTCAAAAGTCGCCTCAAGAGGTGCCTCAAAGGTTTTCTGGGGACTACTCGGCTCTTCTTGAGGCAGAGGCGTAAAGCAACCAGAACAAGTTCACTCTATATGTCCAGACTGTGCTAGTGCAGCTATTTGCAGTTGTTTGCTTGCTTTTAGGGTCAGTTTACATGTCTAGTTACAAGTCGAGTTGGTCGTCAGTCATTCCAGTAAGGCCTCGTGTCGCAAAAGACTAGACACAGTGCGGTGGAAACATTTGCTATTTATGTGTAATGCGGTGCAGAGTGGTACACTGCCTTTGTGGCAGACATGTCAAGGCCCGAATGTACCCTTATTATTATACAAGGGTAGTACTTATGATCCCTTTCTTGCCGGGTAACAACATCCAGTAACGAATGAAAGCGAGGACAGGACATCCTGATACAGGTTCCAATCATCCGGTCCTTGTTATTTCTAATGGTTCTTGGTCTAAGTAGCATGCTGCTGGTCGGCTGAGATGCAATACTCGTTGAAGGATCCAGCAGATATGAAAACCCTCAGATATATCCTGCCCAGCCCATTGAAGGGAGGGGGGAGAAGGCAGAAATGAAGAGAGGGACGGGGTGGTAGGAGTCAGGATAAGTACAAGGCCTGCTGAAGGAGGTTTGGTCAATGGAAGAGGACTGTAAAGAAAGAGTAAGAACAGATAAAGCAGAGACTTGTAAACACAGCAAAATGTCACGAGGAAGAAAGTTGGTGGATAAAGAAAATCAGGTGGAAAGGTGATGCAAAGTCAGGTCAATGGACAGCTGATTGCAGTGAGATGCATGATCTGCCTTGCCATAACCACACCACTGGTGTGCACAAAGCAATATAACAAGGCGGGTAAGACTACAGGACCAAATGACACATCATACTTTGGCTTGTGAATGGCCCTGCATGTGCGGCCCTGCATGTGTGGCCCTGCATGTGTGGCCCTGCATGTGTGGCCCTGCATGTGTGGCCCTGCATGTGTGGCCCTGCATGTGTGGCCCTGCATGTGTGGCCCTGCATGTGTGGCCCTGCATGTGTGGCCCTGCATGTGTGGCCCTGCATGTGTGGCCCTGCATGTGTGGCCCTGCATGTGTGGCCCTGCATGTGTGGCCCTGCATGTGTGGCCCTGCATGTGTGGCCCTGCATGTGTGGCCCTGCATGTGTGGCCCTGCATGTGTGGCCCTGCATGTGTGGCCCTGCATGTGTGGCCCTGCATGTGTGGCCCTGCATGTGTGGCCCTGCATGTGTGGCCCTGCATGTGTGGCCCTGCATGTGTGGCCCTGCATGTGTGGCCCTGCATGTGTGGCCCTGCATGTGTGGCCCTGCATGTGTGGCCCTGCATGTGTGGCCCTGCATGTGTGGCCCTGCATGTGTGGCCCTGCATGTGTGGCCCTGCATGTGTGGCCCTGCATGTGTGGCCCTGCATGTGTGGCCCTGCATGTGTGGCCCTGCATGTGTGGCCCTGCATGTGTGGCCCTGCATGTGTGGCCCTGCATGTGTGGCCCTGCATGTGTGGCCCTGCATGTGTGGCCCTGCATGTGTGGCCCTGCATGTGTGGCCCTGCATGTGTGGCCCTGCATGTGTGGCCCTGCATGCGCGGCCCTGCATGCGCGGCCCTACATCGTACTTTGGCTTGTGTGTGGCCCTGCCAATACACAGTGAGTGCATGTGTGGCCGCAAGTGAGTTTTGAGAATTCTGGAAACTCACGTGTGTGGTGCAGTGCTAGTGGGTGGAACTCACCCCCTATGCTGCTGATGCTGCTGCTGCTGCTGCTGTTGCTGCTGCTGCTGTTGCTGCTGATGCTGCTCCTGCTGTGGCACACTCGAGTGGACAGCAATTGCACAGATGCTGCACGCCAAAAGGGAGAGTGCAAGCACGGGTAAATGTGGCGATGTTTCAATCGTGTGAGAGACCATCGTACCCATGTAGTTCAGAAGAAAAAAGTTCAGGTTTTTGAACAACAGAAGCGTCAGGTCAGGATTCGTTTCGTGCTACTGGGAAGATTTACTCCCCAAGGCTGCAACGAATCCTGAGAAGGCATACAGCTGAGAAGAATTACCGCTCTAGTCGACTTTTAAGTCGACTTAAAAATCGACTCATCACACGAGGATTTACCGCTCTAGTGTGAACATTTTGCTGCAGCTGGGATGATGTGGAGCATTTGAAAGCGTCACAGCGTGAATCTGCTTTTGAGTCGAATCAAAAGCTGCTTTTGAGTCGACTCAAGAACAGGGATGATGTGGAGCATTTGAAAGCGTCACAGCGTGAATCTGCTTTTGAGTCGAATCAAAAGCTGCTTTTGAGTCGACTCAAGAACAGGGATGATGTGGAGCATTTGAAAGCGTCACAGCGTGAATCTGCTTTTGAGTCGAATCAAAAGCTGCTTTTGAGTCGACTCAAGAACAGGGATGATGTGGAGCATTTGAAAGCGTCACAGCGTGAATCTGCTTTTGAGTCGAATCAAAAGCTGCTTTTGAGTCGACTCAAGAACAGGGATGATGCGGAGCATTTGAAAGCGTCACAGCGTGAATCTGCTTTTGAGTCGAATCAAAAGCTGCTTTTGAGTCGACTCAAGAACAGGGATGATGTGGAGCATTTGAAAGCGTCACAGCGTGAATCTGCTTTTGAGTCGAATCAAAAGCTGCTTTTGAGTCGACTCAAGAACAGGGATGATGTGGAGCATTTGAAAGCGTCACAGCGTGAATCTGCTTTTGACTCGAATCAAAAGCTGCTTTTGAGTCGACTCAAGAACAGGGATGATGTGGAGCATTTGAAAGCGTCACAGCGTGAATCTGCTTTTGAGTCGAATCAAAAGCTGCTTTTGAGTCGACTCAAGAACAGGGATGATGTGGAGCATTTGAAAGCGTCACAGCGTGAATCTGCTTTTGACTCGAATCAAAAGCTGCTTTTGAGTCGACTCAAGAACAGGGATGATGTGGAGCATTTGAAAGCGTCACAGCGTGAATCTGCTTTTGAGTCGAATCAAAAAGCTGCTTTTGAGTCGACTCAAGAACAGGGATGATGTGGAGCATTTGAAAGCGTCACAGCGTGAATCTGCTTTTGAGTCGAATCAAAAGCTGCTTTTGAGTCGACTCAAGAACAGGGATGATGTGGAGCATTTGAAAGCGTCACAGCGTGAATCTGCTTTTGAGTCGAATCAAAAGCTGCTTTTGAGTCGACTCAAGAACAGGGATGATGTGGAGCATTTGAAAGCGTCACAGCGTGAATCTGCTTTTGAGTCGAATCAAAAGCTGCTTTTGAGTCGACTCAAGAACAGGGATGATGTGGAGCATTTGAAAGCGTCACAGCGTGAATCTGCTTTTGAGTCGAATCAAAAGCTGCTTTTGAGTCGACTCAAGAACAGGGATGATGTGGAGCATTTGAAAGCGTCACAGCGTGAATCTGCTTTTGAGTCGAATCAAAAGCTGCTTTTGAGTCGACTCAAGAACAGGGATGATGTGGAGCATTTGAAAGCGTCACAGCGTGAATCTGCTTTTGAGTCGAATCAAAAGCTGCTTTTGAGTCGACTCAAGAACAGGGATGATGTGGAGCATTTGAAAGCGTCACAGCGTGAATCTGCTTTTGAGTCGAATCAAAAGCTGCTTTTGAGTCGACTCAAGAACAGGGATGATGTGGAGCATTTGAAAGCGTCACAGCGTGAATCTGCTTTTGAGTCGAATCAAAAGCTGCTTTTGAGTCGACTCAAGAACAGGGATGATGTGGAGCATTTGAAAGCGTCACAGCGTGAATCTGCTTTTGACTCGAATCAAAAGCTGCTTTTGAGTCGACTCAAGAACAGGGATGATGTGGAGCATTTGAAAGCGTCACAGCGTGAATCTGCTTTTGAGTCGAATCAAAAAGCTGCTTTTGAGTCGACTCAAGAACAGGGATGATGTGGAGCATTTGAAAGCGTCACAGCGTGAATCTGCTTTTGAGTCGAATCAAAAGCTGCTTTTGAGTCGACTCAAGAACAGGGATGATGTGGAGCATTTGAAAGCGTCACAGCGTGAATCTGCTTTTGAGTCGAATCAAAAGCTGCTTTTGAGTCGACTCAAGAACAGGGATGATGTGGAGCATTTGAAAGCGTCACAGCGTGAATCTGCTTTTGAGTCGAATCAAAAGCTGCTTTTGAGTCGACTCAAGAACAGGGATGATGTGGAGCATTTGAAAGCGTCACAGCGTGAATCTGCTTTTGAGTCGAATCAAAAGCTGCTTTTGAGTCGACTCAAGAACAGGGATGATGTGGAGCATTTGAAAGCGTCACAGCGTGAATCTGCTTTTGAGTCGAATCAAAAGCTGCTTTTGAGTCGACTCAAGAACAGGGATGATGTGGAGCATTTGAAAGCGTCACAGCGTGAATCTGCTTTTGAGTCGAATCAAAAGCTGCTTTTGAGTCGACTCAAGAACAGGGATGATGTGGAGCATTTGAAAGCGTCACAGCGTGAATCTGCTTTTGAGTCGAATCAAAAGCTGCTTATGAGTCGACTCAAGAACAGGGATGATGTGGAGCATTTGAAAGCGTCACAGCGTGAATCTGCTTTTGAGTCGAATCAAAAGCTGCTTTTGAGTCGACTCAAGAACAGGGATGATGTGGAGCATTTGAAAGCGTCACAGCGTGAATCTGCTTTTGAGTCGAATCAAAAGCTGCTTTTGAGTCGACTCAAGAACAGGGATGATGTGGAGCATTTGAAAGCGTCACAGCGTGAATCTGCTTTTGAGTCGAATCAAAAGCTGCTTTTGAGTCGACTCAAGAACAGGGATGATGTGGAGCATTTGAAAGCGTCACAGCGTGAATCTGCTTTTGAGTCGAATCAAAAGCTGCTTTTGAGTCGACTCAAGAACAGGGATGATGTGGAGCATTTGAAAGCGTCACAGCGTGAATCTGCTTTTGAGTCGAATCAAAAGCTGCTTTTGAGTCGACTCAAGAACAGGGATGATGTGGAGCATTTGAAAGCGTCACAGCGTGAATCTGCTTTTGAGTCGAATCAAAAGCTGCTTTTGAGTCGACTCAAGAACAGGGATGATGTGGAGCATTTGAAAGCGTCACAGCGTGAATCTGCTTTTGAGTCGAATCAAAAGCTGCTTTTGAGTCGACTCAAGAACAGGGATGATGTGGAGCATTTGAAAGCGTCACAGCGTGAATCTGCTTTTGAGTCGAATCAAAAGCTGCTTTTGAGTCGACTCAAGAACAGGGATGATGTGGAGCATTTGAAAGCGTCACAGCGTGAATCTGCTTTTGAGTCGAATCAAAAGCTGCTTTTGAGTCGACTCAAGAACAGGGATGATGTGGAGCATTTGAAAGCGTCACAGCGTGAATCTGCTTTTGAGTCGAATCAAAAGCTGCTTTTGAGTCGACTCAAGAACAGGGATGATGTGGAGCATTTGAAAGCGTCACAGCGTGAATCTGCTTTTGAGTCGACTCAAGAACAGGGATGATGTGGAGCATTTGAAAGCGTCTGCACTCACTGCTCACCTCTCTTCTCCTGCTACAGCCTACAGTCACATGGTGCACAGTCACATCGCTGTGCCTCCTGCTTTCTCCCCTAACACTCACCTCTCTTCCCCCGCTACAGTCACATGGTGAACAGTCACATCGCTGTGCCTCCTGCCAGCGGAACTCCCGACAAGATCAGATGCAGAGGAGGACGAGGAGGAGGAAGAAGAGGAGGAAGAGGAGGAGGAACTGGAGTTGCAGTGAGGGGAGTGCGAGGAGTGAGAGGAAGGAGATGAGGAGTGTGAGGAGGACTGGGAGGAGGTGGAGAGGGGGAGGTGAAATATATGGGCAGTGCCAGTGCTGCTGGTGAGAGCAAGAGAGAGGGGGAGAGCGCCAGGCGGAGAGAAGGAGAGGGAGAAGATAGAAGCAGGGTAGGCGCCTCGTTTGAAAGATAAGAGCTGGTGACAGGGGTGAAAAAGGTGAAAGGGGGTGGGAAAAGGTGAAAAGGGGTGGGAATGGGTGAAAGGTGGTGTGATTGGGTGAAAAATATTGATGGCACGGTGCTGCTGGTGAGGGAAACGAAGGAGAGGGAGAAGATAGCAGCAGGGTAGGCGCCTTTTTTGAAAGAATAGAGGTGGTTAATGAGGGGTGGGAAGGGGTGGGTAGCGGTGGGAAGAGAGAATAAATATGGGGTTGTGGCAGGGTGGAGGAAACACCAGCTTTCCCACTTGTTTGAGCACCTCCCTCCTGTCACCTGTTGAATAGAATTGAGCAGGAGGCGGGCAGCAGCTGCGAAGGGAAGGCCTTTGGGTCGACTCAAAAGTAACCTCGGAGCATGACTGGTCAAGAAGCCCAGGTTGGTCGTTTCATTACTGGTCCAGATTCAACGTGTGCGGACTAGAAGGTGTTTTCTTGAAGGTGACCCCACCTTGTTGCCGGTCCACATTCAACGTATGCTGGCTGGAAATGCTTTCTGATTCCACGTGCCTTCACCTTGTTGCCGGGCTACACTCAATGTATGCCAAACACACATGCCTATCCTTGCACGTGCCCACACTTTGTTGCCTATCCGGATGCAGTGCACCCAAATGACGAACGGTATGTCGAACCCTTTAATATGGTCCAGATTCAATGAATGCAAAGAAAGAAATGATAGCCCATCCACACACTTGCACGTGGCCTCACCGTGTTGCATGTCCGACTGCAGTGCATCCGAACGACCGCTCCCTTGGCAGATGTTTCTAATATGGTCCAGATTCATTGAATGTAAGGAAGGAAGGACCCATCTTATAGCCCACCTTCTTTCACATGCACGAAGCGCACCTTGTGGCCTGTCCGGATACAGTGTACCCAAATGACCGTGCCCTTCATTGATGCATTCATAAAAGGTCCAGGTTCAATCAACACAGAATTAACAGTCTGGCCCTCTCCCCCCACCTTGATTCCTGTCCGGATACAGTGCACTCAAGTGACGGTGCCTTCATCAATCCTTCTACTATGGTCCAGATTCAATGCACGCACGTGCTCCCTACCTTGTTGCCTGTCCGGATGCAGTGCACCCGAATCACCGTGCCCTTGGCAGATGCTTGTACTATGGTCCAGATTCATTGTATGCACGCACGTGCCCCCACCTTGTTGCCTGTCCGGATACAGTGCACCCGAATCACAGTGCCCTTTGTCGATCCAGTCCAGGTTCAATGAACACAGAAAACCCAGTCCTGCCCCGTCTCCCCCACCTTGTTGCCTGTCCGGATGCAGTGCACCCGAATCACAGTGCCCTTGGCATTTCTCGTAGTATGGACCAGATTCAATGGATGCACTGCACATGCCCCCACCTTGTTGCCTGTCCGGATGCAGTGCACCCGAATCACAGTGCCCTTGGCAGATGATGGTCCAGGTTCAATGAACACAGGAAATACAATCCTGCACTCCCTCCCCCACCTTGTTGCCTGTCCTTATACAGTGCACCCGAATCACAGTGCCCTTGGCAGATGATGGTCCAGGTTCAATGAACACAGAAAGTACAATCCTGGACTCCCTCCCCCACCTTGTTGCCTGTCCGGATACAGTGCACCCGAATCACAGTGCCCTTGGCAGATGCTGACGCCAGCAGCTCCCTCCCCACTCCTCCTCCTCCCTCCTCATTCCTCCCTTCTCCCCCCTCCCTTTCCTTTCCTCCTTCCCCCTCCACGTCCCCATGTGGGTTCAGCTCATTTTGCCGCAGAGGAGATGGGAGGGTTGGGACCAGAGAGGTGATTACAACGGCTGCGATCGGCCCGTCGTGAGCCTTGATCTGGGGAAGAAAGAGAAGGAGGCGGGAGGGAATGTGGGAGTTGGTGTGTGGCTTAGAGGCACGTGTGTGATGTGAGCAATGGCTGTAGTCGTCGCATCGCGAGGGGGGAAAGGGAGAGGGGAAAGGGGAAGGGAGGAAAGGGAAGGGGGGAGAAATGGAACACTCATCTCAGCCTGCCTTCTGAAAAAAGCATTGAATCACATTAATAACTTCTTGACATCTCTTTTCTGGGCAACAGCACACAAGTGCTCTGTCGCGCATTACTTTACAATCTTCCTGGATTACAGTATCAGAAAGCGGCAGCAGGTGCAGGAGCAAGAGCAGAAGCGAAAGTTGGAACGGCAGCAGCAGGAGTCAACTCACGTGGGCAAAGGCTTGGAGGGAAATGAGGTCGACAATGAGCAGAGAACCTTGATCAGATGAGGATGATGTTGAGGAGGCGGAGGAGGCAAGCAAGGTGAGAGAAAAAGGCAAGGAGAGCAGAGATGGGCCAGCAAGGCCGCAGCAGCCAACTCACCTGGCCAAAGGCCTGGAGGGAAATGAGGTCGACTAGCAGCAGATTGCCTTGACCAGAGGAGGGGGAGGAGGAGGAAGAGGTTAGCGAGGTGAGGGAGAGGAGGGAGGGGCGAGGAGCAGTAGCAGGGACGGCGCAGAAGCAGGAGGAGGAGGGGGAGAGGGGGCGAGGAGAGAGTGGGCTCAGGGCACAGATGCCTGGGAGGAACAGGGGAGGGGAGAATGGCAGAGGGAGAAAAGGGAGGAGGGGGGGGCGAGGGGTCGCGGCGAGAGCAGGCTGAGGGCACAGAGTCCTGGGAGGGGACACAGGCGGAGAGGACGTATGGCAAGGGGGGAACAAAAGAGGGGAGAAGATCGCTCAGGGCACAGAGTCCTGGGAGGAACAGGGGATCGAAACGAGGAATGGGGAGAGGGGAGAGAGAGGAGAACAATAGCAGGGGGGGGAAGGCAGGGGGGAAATAAGATTTGGAAAAGAGGGCTCAGATTCCTGGAAGGAGACTGAATGGGGAGAGCCGCATGGGGGGGAGTGTTTGAGTCGAACAACTTGGATTTTATGCGACTAGAAGCCTCACCGTTGGGGTTTAGAGCGACTGTGAGGAAGAGCAACAGAGGGAAGCCGGCAGCAACACCCTGAGGAGGGCGTGTGTGTGTATGAGTGCAACGTTGTGATACTTGTGCTTGTTGTTCATATCACACAAGCACTCACCATTGGGGTTTGGGGCGACAGTGAGGGAGAGCAGGAGAGGAAAGCCAACAGCAACACCCTGAGAGGGGTGTGTGATTACAGGTGTGGTGTGTGATGGCTGTGCGTTGCATCGCACACACTCACCGTTGGGGTTTGCGGCGACTGTGAGGGAGAGCAGCAGAGGGAAGCCGGCAGCAACACCCTGAGAGGGGTGTGTGATTACAGGTGTGGTGTGTGATGGCTGTGCGTTGCATCGCACGCACTCACCGTTGGGGTTTGCGGCAACTGTGAGGGAGAGCAGCAGAGGGAAGCCGGCAGCAACACCTTGAGAGGGGTGTGTGATTACAGGTGTGGTGTGTGATGGCTGTGCGTTGCATCGCACGCACTCACCGTTGGGGTTTGCGGCGACTGTGAGGGAGAGTAGCAGAGGGAAGCCGGCAGCAACACCCTGAGAGGAGGGTGTGCTTACAGGTGTGGTGTGTGATAGCTGTGCTTCACATCGCATGCACTAACCGTTCGGGTTTGGAGCGATTGTGAGGGAGAGCAGCAGAGGCAAGCCAGCAGCAACACCCTGAGAGGGGTGCTGTGCTTGTAGTTCCTATTGCAAGCACTCACCATTGGGGTTTGGAGCTACTGTGAGGGAGAGCAGCAGAGGGAAGCCGGCAGCAACACCCTGAGGAGTGACGTCATGCACTGATAGCCTTGATTCGAGGAGGACTAGTAGCCTGTTTGGTTAGAGGCACGAGAACACAGCAGCATATGGCAGAGAGAGGAGGGAAGCCGGCAGCAACACCCTGAGGAGTGACGTCATGCACTGATAGCCTTGGCTCGAGCAGGACTAACAGCCTGAAATGCACACACACACAGTGCAAGATCGTATAGCAGAGGCGAGAGGAACAAGAGAGGGGGAGAGCGAGGGAGACGATAGAGAGATGAGGGACGCCAGCAGCAACACCCTGAAGAGAGACGTCGTGCAGCAGGAGTTAATGTGATGCGACATGCTGGATGCGAGGTGGCAGTGATGCGTGTGGCAGTGATGCGTGTGGCAGTGATGCGTGTGGCAGTGATGCGAGGTGGCAGTGATGCAAGGTGGCAGTGATGCGTGTGGCAGTGATGCGAGGTGGCAGTGATGCGTGTGGCAGTGATGCGTGTGGCAGTGATGCGTGTGGCAGGGATGCGCGTGGCAGTGACGCACATGGCGGTGATGCGCGTGGCAGTGATGCGTGTGGCATTGATGCGTGTGGCAGGGATGTGCATGGCAGGGATGTGCATGGCAGGGATGTGCATGGCAGGGATGTGCATGGCAGGGATGTGCATGGCAGGGATGTGCATGGCAGGGATGTGCATGGCAGGGATGTGCATGGCAGGGATGTGCATGGCAGGGATGTGCATGGCAGGGATGTGCATGGCAGGGATGTGCATGGCAGGGATGTGCGTGGCAGTGATGATGGTGAGGAAGGAGAGGGTGAGATATAGAGGGGAGGGGCGTGAGAGTTGGAGAAAGAGCAAGGTGCCTTGAAGCTCACCTGGAGTGGTTGAGGCGAACGGAAGTGAAGACGGTGAGGGAGAGGGTGAGAGATAGAGAGAAGGGGGGGGCGAGGAGGGAATGATAGCTCATCTCAACCGCTTCAACCCACCTGGAGTGGTTGAGGCGAATGGCAGTGATGATGGTGAGGAAGGAGAGGGTACCCAGGGGGGTGAGAGAGGAGGGAGAGGAGGGAGAGGAGGGATGGGAGATGGAAGCCAGGTGCACCTCTCGGGGCGACAAATGCGGCTGGAGCAGGGTGGGGGACAGGGGATGGGGGATGGGGGATGGGGGATGCGGGATGGGGGATGGGGATGGGGTATGGGGGATGGTGGATGGGGGATGACAGATGGAAAAGGATGGACGATGGAGGCCAGGTGCACCTCTCGGGGCGACAAATGCGGCTGGAGGAGGGTGGGGGACAGGGGATGGGGGATGGGGGATGGGGAATGGGGCATGGGGAATGACAGATGGAAAAGGGATATGGCAGGGTGGGATGGAGGGATGGAGGAATGACGGAACCGCCATGCGATGACACAGCTTGCAGGGAAGACTGGAAAAGAGCACTACGAGTCGTGTTTTGAGTCGACTCAAAACACGATATGGCAGGGTGGGGTGGTGGAGGGATGACGGAATGAGAGAACCGCCATGCAATGCCACAGCTTGTGAGGAAGACTTTTGAGTCGACTCAAAAGTCAGCGAGGGATGACGGAACCGCCATGCAATGCCACTGCTTGAAGGGAAGGACGGAAAAGAGCACTACCATGTCTCCCGTGCCAACAAATGCAACCAATGGCGTTGCGCCACGTGGCGCAATGAGAGTGAGCTCCACAATCTTTATCGGGCCCACGCCCAGGTGGGTCACGACGGGCTGCGCCACGTCAGCACAGAGGAATATCTTGAAACCTGCTGACGTGGCCACTGCCACGTGGCTGCACCCAAGGTGGAACATCACGGCGAAATGGTGGGGGACGGAAATGGAGCGGGTCGAGAGGGGCAGGGAAGAAGCGGGGAGTGCCGTAAGTGGAGAGTGATGGAAATGGATGAGGAGGCAACAAGGGAGTGCGTATTTGGGTGATGAAACTGCTAGCACTGAGTCAATATGTAACACAGGGTTGCGTAAGGACTACAGAGTACGCACGAAAGTACGGCCGTGACTCTCTACCTGCCATCAGCCGTGAACGCAGCATAGAGAATCTCTTCTAACGCGCATTCTTCTCCCCTCTCTTTCCCAGCTAATCCCGTCGGAGCTCCGGTTCCGCCGCCAGTCCGCTTGGCGCCACGACTGCTCGTAAACGCGCGACCCATCCAACGTCGCGGATCAATCCTAGTTATCACGCCGCATCATCCAACGGTGCGAATGGACTCCTGACGCGTAAGATGCGGGTAACGTCGCACATAAGCAGCATCGCATAAGGGTAGCGCCGCACACGGATAGCCTCCGGGCGACGCCAGGACTTGTGAGTGGTCCAAACGGCTAACTTGTGTTTTCGTATAGCGCTATTAGAACCGACAGTCTGGTACGGTGCCTACTCGAAAGACGCGCATTAGAAAGAGGTTGCTTCTATCCACTCTCTGACACTTTTCTCAGCCCATACCGCTCATAATCCTCGCCGTCACCCTGACTGGAAGTTCGCGGCTCCTCGTAGCATGACTTAGTAGCTTGGGCGGATATGCTCGATACCAGCGTCCCGGTAAAAGAGACGCGGAAAGCGATGACGTACACAAGAGCTTCAGTAGCTTGACTTATTGATACTTTCGCATGGGAAGTGTTACAACCATTATCTATAGTGATCAAACACCCAGGCCTATAGAATTGGCTATCTCGATATGTTGTTCCCTGACAATACATTTGTTTTTCTCTACAGGAGCGTCCAGCTACAAGCAACCCACATGTCGTCATCATAATTGTTATTTCATCAGAAGTAAGAGCACTTATTGCATCTTTTGTAACAGCATGTGCACATCCGAAGCAAGGGCATAGTTCTCGTTGCTCCTTCTCCTGCAGAGTAGGAAGAGAGAATGAAAAGGAGGATAATTTGAGAGATGAGAAGACCGCGACTGCAGCTGACTGAAACTGACACAAGGATAAATGGGTGAAGGTCCGTCTCATGTAACAAGGACCTTCACCACAGCCGTCATTGTAAACCGAGAGGGAGAAAAAAAAACCTAAGCATGACGCATTGCATGCGGAGGGGGGGGGGAGTAGGGGAGGAGGAATTATAAGGGGGGAGGAAGGAAGCTCCACCTGAGGATGGGGTGGAGCTGGTCTTCAAGCACCCGGAAGCCCTCGTAGCATTCACTTCACCGCTGTAGCCTGCCGTGATTCCAAGTTCTAAAAGTACACCTGTCCTAATCATGAAGCATTGCCTACTAAAGGGAGGAGGAGGGCGCACCTGAGGATGGGGTGAAGCTGGTCTTCGAGCACTCTGAAGCCCTCGTAGCAATCATTGCATGGTGAGGGGAGGGGAGGAGAGACTAGGGAGAAGAAGCTGAGGAGAGGAGGGGAGGAAGAAGCTGCACCTGAGGATGGGGTGAAGCTGGTCTTCGAGCACTCTGAAGCCCTCGTAGCAATCATTGCAGCGCTGCAACCTGCCATGATTCACATGTGATTTCACATGCCATCACATGCCAGCCGATGCCATGCCATGCCATCACATGCCAGCCCATGCCATGCCATGCCATGCCATCACATGCCATACGAGTTAGTACAATATTGAAGACAAGAAAACACAGGGATTAGTACCAACGCCGATTGAACAAGATGAACACCAGGGGACACTCAGAAGTGTTTTTGCTTGAGACACTTAGAAGCACCCCTCATCCCGAATACTCAACCTTCCCCCACTTAGTTTTGAGGCGCCTCAAAACACCGAGTCAACAAGACGAACACCAGGGGAAACTTTAAATTGACCATTGCACCCCATCATCCCAATTTCTTGCCCCTTCTCAACCCCCCCCGTCCTTCTCAACAACGGGAATACACAGGGAATAGTACCAACGCCGAGTGAACAAGATGAACAACAGGGGACACTCAGAATTGACCATTGCAGACCATCACCCCAATTTCTCACCCCTCCTCTGCTTACCCCCCAATCTCCCCCTCGCTCTCACCTGTCTTCCGTATTGAAGTCTATCCCAGGGGAGTTCGTGGCAGTGCGAGCAGCAGTGATGGGTTCACTGAAGCCCTCGACAGCCCAGACGCACATCCATGTACCTTACGCACCCGCTTCATTGTCTCATTCTGCCTCCCTTGCTCTCGCCGCCCTCCCTTATTCTCACCTCTCTTCCATGTGCAGGTCCACCCCAGGAGAGTGAGTGGCGGTGCGAGCAGCAGTGATGGTAGTGACTCCCTCCCTCTCACCTCCCTCTCACCTCCCTCTCACCTCCCTCTCACCTCTCTTCCATATGCAGATCCACCCCAGGGGAGTGAGTGGCGGTGCGAGCAGCGATGGGCTCACTGAACGCCCTCGGCAGCTCACACCTTTCCACCTCCTTATAACTTCCCTCCCTTGTTCTCACCTCTCCTCCATGTGTAAGTCTACCCCAGGGGAGTGAGTGGCAGTGCGAGCAGCAGTGATGGGCTCGTTGAACGCCCTCAGCAGCTCACACTTGCGCCTCCCAACACCCCCTCATGGCCTCATTCCACCTCCCTTTCCCCCCTCCCTCTCACCTCTCCATGTGCAGATCCACGCCAGGGGAGTGAGTGGCGGTGCGAGCAGCAGTGATGGGCTCGCTGAACGCCCTCAGCAGCTCCCTCGCACGCCCATCGGCCTTGAGCGTCAGCTTCATTGCCTCACTCAACCTCCCGTGCTCTCCCCTCCCTCCCTTGTTCTCACCTCTCCTCCATATGCAGGTCCACCCCAGGGGAGTGCGTGGCGGTGCGAGCAGCAGTGATGGGCTCACTGAACGCCCTCAGCAGCTCCCGTAGCAGCGACAGCGCCACTCCCACGTATCTGTGAGGGGAGGGGAGGTGGAAGGATGGAGGGAGTGATGGGTGGGAGGTTGTAAGGGGGGGCAGTGATGGGCTCACTGAACGCCCTCAGAAGCTCCCGCAGCAAGGAGAGAGAGGGGAGAAGACATAAGGGTGGAATTGACCCCATTAAGGGGGGGAAATGGGCTAACTGAACACCCCCAGTAGTTCCCGCAGCAGGGACAGCGCCACTCCCACATACCTGTAGGGAGGGAGGGAAGGAGGGAGTGTGGGAGGGGCAGGAGGAACGGTGGGAGACAGAAGGGAAAGCGGAAAGAGAAAGAGGTGTACTTGACACTGCAAAGGGTGCAAGACGAAGTGCCAAGGCGGGAGGACCCGTCAAGCCTTCATCAGTGTTTTTGAAGGGAAAGGGAAAAGAGGTGTACTTGACACTGTAGAGGGTGCAAGAAAGACAAATTGAGTAAACATCTGCCGTTTGCTTGCAGTGTGGACTCTGCTTCACAGCACAGCACAACAGACGATGGCAGAGGTCTAGGAAAGCAAGACAAGACAGAAACGGACTTTGAACTCTCGACAGCACAGCACTGCTCAGCACCACTCAGAAACAGTCACGAAGGCTCCAGAACACACAGCACCGCTCAGGACCGCACAGGACCACTCACTTGGAGTGGCTACTGGCGAGCAGAGCCCTGAGCAGTGGCTGCAACTGCAATGCTCCCTCCATGCCCACCGACACCAGCCGCCTGCCTCCCTGCATGGCCAGCACCTCCAACACGTCTGCCACCACCTGAGAACCGAGGGGTAAGGAGGGAAAGAGAGAATAAGAAGAGAGTCGAGACAGCCCTCAGCAGCTGCAAGGCCCCTTCCGTTCCCACCGACACCAGCCGCCTGCCTCCCTGCATGGCCAGCACCTCCAACACGTCTGCCACCACCTGAGGTATGGGGAAATGAAAGCACTGATTCAGGTCAATGGGGCACTCAGCAGTGGCAGCAGCACACCGACACCTCCTGCCTGCCTCCCTGCATGGCCAGCACCTCAAGGAAGTCTGTCACCACCTGAGGTATGGGAGATGGGAAGGAAGAGAAAGCATAAGGAGAGGGACCAGAGAGCCCTCAGCAGCTGCAAGGCCCCTTCCATTCCCACTGAGACCAGCCGCCTGCCTCCCTGCATGGCCAGCACCTTTAGCATGTCTGCCACCACCTGAAGTATGGGGGATAGGGAGGAAGAGAAGCGAGTGCAGCTCTCAGCTCAAGGCTCTCAGCAGCTGCAATGCTCCCTCCCTGCCCACTGAGACCAGGCGCCTGCTTCCCTGCATGGCCAGCACCTCCACCACTTACAACCACAGCAGTCAGTCGCCCTTGCAGTATGTGCTGCATGGCTGTGCGCTGCTCTGCCTTTTGAGACGTCTCAAAAGACCATCCTTGACACCCACAGCGAGCCACGAGGGCAGAGAGGGCGGGCAGCAGTTCTCCATCCACCCACAGCACTGCCACATGGCGCACTGCAGAGAGGCGCCCCTGCAGCATGTCCTGCATAGCCTTCTGCTGCTTGGCCGTGTGGTGCATGGAACAACCCTTAATGGTGCACTCACAGCAAGGTCCTTTGAAGCAGCGAGGGCAGAGAGAGCAGGAAGCAGTTCTCCATCCACCCACAGCGCTGCCACATGGCGCACTGCAGAGAGGCGCCCCTGCAGCATGTGCTGCATGGCAGTGTGCCGCCCATTCACACTCTCCATCACCACCATCTCGTCATCCTCCTCGTCTCCCCCCTCCTCCTCGTGCCGTTTCTGCTGCTTCGATGGTAGTGAGGGCTGGGAAATAGAGGAAGGGAAACGAGAAGCGGTGGGCAAGGGTGAGTGCATCGCTCACTGCAGCATGTGAAGCATGGCAGTGTGCCGCCCATTCACACTCTCCATCACCACCATCTCGTCGTCTTCCTCGTCCTCAACTTGCTGCTTCTGTTGCTTGGATGGTAATGAAGGCTGTGGAGGAAGCAGGGAGAGGGGGTAGGCATAAATGTGTTAGTCCCTCCAGCATGTGGAGCATGGCAGTGTGCCGCCCGTTCACACTCTCCATCACCACCATCTCGTCATCCTCCTCGTCTACCCCCTCTTCTTGCTGCTGCTTCTGCCGCTTGGATGGTAGTGAGGGCTGGGAAACAGAGGAAGGAAAACGAGACGCGGTGGGGCAAGGGTAAATGCATCGTTCACTGCGGCATGTGCTACAAGCATGGCAGCGTGCAGCCCATTCACACTCTTCATCACCACCATCTCATCGTCCTCCTCTTCTCCCTCCTCCTGCTGCTGCTTCTGCTGCTTGCTTGGCAAAGAGGGCTGGGGAGGGGAGGGGAGGGGAGTGGGGGTGGGAGGAGGCAAGGGTAAATGTGTTAATCAGTGCAGCGTGTGCTGCATGCATGGCAGTGAGCTGCACTGCAGAGAGCCACCCCTACAGCATAGCCCGGATTAGGGTAAAGAGGGCTGGGGAGGGGATGGGGAGTGGGGGTGGGAGGAGGCAAGGGTAAATGCGTTACTCGCTGCAGCATGAGCTGAACTCTCCACTCACCTGTGCAAACTCGTCCACATTCACTTTCATTGACCACTGCAGAACGCTCTATAAGTGCATCAACCCCGTGACCCCTTAAACTCTCTCACTCCTCTCCTCTCCCCTCCCCACCTTCCCTCTCCCCGTCCTCTCTCCGCTCACCTGTGCAAACTCGTCCACATTCACTCAATGGGTGCTGCCTGCAGTGCATCAACCCCGTCTATCTAACCGTCTCACTCCTCACCTCTCCCCCCCATCTCTCTCCCCGTCCTCTCTCCGCTCACCTGTGCAAACTCGTCCACATTCACTCAATGGGTGCTGCCTGCAGTGCATCAACCCCGTCTATCTAACCGTCTTACTCCTCACCTCTCCCCTCCCCACCTTCCCTCTCCCCGTCCTCTCTCCTCTCACCTGTGCAAACTCGTCCACATTCACTCAATGGGTGCTGCCTGCAGTGCATCAACCCCGTCTATCTAACCGTCTCACTCCTCACCTCTCCCCTCCCCACCTTCCCTCTCCCCGTCCTCTCTCCTCTCACCTGTGCAAACTCGTCCACATTCACTCAATGGGTGCTGCCTGCAGTGCATCAACCCCGTCTATCTAACCGTCTCACTCCTCACCTCTCCCCTCCCCACCTTCCCTCTCCCCGTCCTCTCTCCTCTCACCTGTGCGAACTCGTCCACATTCACTTTCATGGACCACTGCAGAACGCTCTATAAGTGCATCAACCCTGTGATCCCTCAACTCTCTCACTCCTCTCCTCTCCCCTCCCCATCTTCCCTCTCCCCGTCCTCTCTCCACTCACCTGTGCAAACTCGTCCACATTCACTTTCATCGACCACTGCAGAACGCTCCTTGCTCCTCCTCCTCCTGCTGCTCCTGCTGCTCCTGCTCCTGCTGCTGCCGAATGTCGAGCACCAGCTGTCCGGTGTTGTGCTGCTCCTGCCACTGACACTGCCGCTCCTACTGATGCCCTGCCTTGCACTGCTGGCACTGCTGGCACTTGTGGCACGTGGACCTGTGCTGACTGCACTTGTGACGCCTGAGAGCGTGGGGAGAGAGGAGACAAGCCAATGCCTCTACCAGCCCTCCTGCTCCCTACCCCTCCCATCGCTCCAGCTGGTATCAAATCGCCCGCCCCTCCTGCTCTCATTCCCACTCCCTCTCCTTCCGCTCCCCCTGCCCCTTCTCCCACTCCCCTGTCTGCCCCTGCTTCTGCCCTACAAGACAACGAGGCGGAGGGAGAAGAGGCCGAGGCAGAAGCCAGCACTGCAGACTCACGTGCACCGCCATACTCTCTACAAGCATCCTCTCTAACAACTCCTCCTGCCGGTAACGACGCAGAAGCAGAAGCAGAAGCCACCAAACCAATGCCCCTATCCTCGCACTCCCTTACCCTCTCTCCAGCAGACCCGTGCCTCCTCATACTGGCATTGCCACCTCGCTCATCCCCATCCGCCTCGCCCACAGCCTCTCCTTCCTCCTCCTCTACAGCGTAAGGTGGGTGCAGAATGGACGGCCTTAACTTGTACTTGTCTTCAATCTGTCTTGGTTCTAGGGCTGCCGAATGCTCCTCCTTCCCATGCCCAGACCTGGGCATATCTGCATCCTTCTCTCCACCCTCCACCAGACTGGCCGTTCTGCCCTGCTCCACCACACTCTCTCCCTCCTCTCGTTCGCTCTCCTCCTTCCCATCCCCATCCACAGCATACGGGGCGCGAAGGCCAGGCACCGATGCCTTAAAGCCCCCAGCCGCACCGCTGCCCACAGGCCCATTACTCGCAGCAGCACACGTCGCTGACAACAGCAGCACCATTGCTCTTCCTCCCCCCACCGTGACTCTCACCCTCTCCCTCCTCGTCCTCACTCCACCCGCTAATCTGCCCCGACCCAACTCTCTGCACCCCTGCTCCTCTCCCCTCCCCACTCCCCTCACTCCCCTCACTCCCCCGCTCCCCACTCCCAACCCTCCCCCCATCTCTCCTCCCCTCCTCCTCACTCCCAACCCCATTCCCCTCCCCTCCAGCCTCCTCTCTGTCTCCGCCATACTCCACCGCCCTCCTGCCTCCTCCTCCCCCACTCAAACTCTCCTCGAGGCCAGAGAACGACCCGATCCAGTCAGACACCTTGTTCATCGCCTCTACCACAGTAGCCGCCCTGCTTCCCGCGCCCCCTCCTGCAGTCGCCACCGCTTTGCTCCAATCAAACGTCATGCCGAAGCCAGTCATCCCTCCCAGAATACCACCTGCACCAGATACGCCAACGTGTGTGCCGGAGGCAGATGCACCCGTCTGTGTGGTTGAAGCAGGTGTGCCTGTAGGTGCTCCTGAAGCAGATGCACCTGTGTGGGTGTTTGCACCAGACACACCGACTGGTTGGCCACGATTCGACACAGAGGCAGCTGCAGGTGGTGTGACACAAGTATCTGAATCTACCCCAGCTGCTGCTTTCGCTGAATCTACTCCTGGAGCAGTCGCACTAAAGGAGTCTGCGCCTGCGCATGCATGACTGCCCTTGTTACTTCTGTCCGCAGCAGCAGAAGCAGCAGAAGCAGCAGCAGCAGCAGCAGAAGCAGCAGCAGCACCTGGCAGACCCCCTGCATCTAGAAACTCCTGAATCCTGCGAGGCTGCCGTTGGTGCGCCCCCGACCCACCCAACCTCTCATCACCACTCCCCACCCCATGAGGCATAGAAGCTGGTGGCGCAGTAGCAGCATCAGCCACCCCCCCTGCATCTAGAAACTCTTGAATCTTGCGGGATCGGTGACGAGCTGCCTCCAACCTCTCATCATCCCCATCCCCTACCCCATGCTGTGCAGAGCGTGAAACTACAGCATAGGACACCCCCCCAGCGTCCAGAAACTCCTGAATCTTACTGGACTGTTGACCACCTGCCTCAAAACCATCCAACCTCTCATCACCCCCGACCCCATGCTGTGCGGAGCGTGAAACCACAGCATAGGACACCCCTCCAGCGTCCAGAAACTGTTGAATCTTATGAGACCCAGAGGGGTTTTCTCTAGGAATCTTATGAGAAGTCTCAAAGGGATTCACTGAATGAAGTCCCTGTGCCTCCTCCCTGCCTCCCTTGCCAAAGGCTTCATCCCTTCTCTTGGCAAAGGAAGAGCCATCCTCCCCCTTGGAGATTACATAACCGCCTGATACAGACGCTCTTCGCCCTCCCCTTGTCCCCACTCCTTTGAAACTGCCCCCTGCTGCCCCTCCTGCCCCTCCTCCTCCCACTCCTCCCCCTCCGCCTCCTCCTCTCCCACTTTCTCCTCCTCCTCCTCCCCCTCCTCCTGCCACTCCTGTCCTGACCTCCCTACCACTCACCGACCCAACGCCCCTACCCCACTGCTCCCCCACTCCTCCGACTGACACCCTCCGCCCTCTCGCCCCCCCATTCCCCACCCCCGCACTCTCCCCTCCCCCTCCCGCCCCTCCTGCCCCCACCCCACCCACACCCCCACGAAACCCGAGCCTGCCGCCTCCAGCGCTCCCCAAACCTGCCTTGTGGTCGTGACTCTGCTGAGCCGACTTTTGAGTTGACTTTTGAGCCGACTCAGCATTTGCCTTGTGACTCTGACCTGCTGTGCTCTCGCCCTTGATCGGGGAGACCTGCCGAGTGCGGTGTATAGATGATGCTGTGGGGGAGAGGTGGTTTTTCTGCTGCTGCTGGTGATGGGGGTGGGGCGAGCGATTGGTGTTGTTACCTGGTGAAGTTGTGGGGAGAAGAAAGGCGGGAGGGGCAAAGGGAGACACAGGAGGGTTAGGTGAGCAATGTTCCCTCACTGTTAACAGGAAAGAGCAGTGTGCTCTCGTTGTTAACAGGGGTGAGCTGTGTTTTCGTCCTTGATAGGGTAGAGCTGCCGAGTGCGGTGGATGGATGCTGCTGTGGGGGACTGATGGTTCTGCTGCTGAGGGGGTGATGCTGCTGCTGCTGGTGATGCTGGTGGGGTGAGCGACTGGCAGGCGAGGCGGTGGAGGTGGTGGACGAGGCGGGCAGGGGCAGCCCCATGGTGGTGAGCGAGGAGGGAAGGAGTAAAGCACTCACCATGAGGGCATGGTGCATGGGAATGCACGGGTGTTGACACAGAAGAACACAGTGGAGGAGACGGTGGAGGTGGTGGGGGAGGCGGGCAGGGGCAGTGTCGTGAATCCTCCTCTGTCCACCCTCATTCCCTCTCATCCCTGCGTATCCTGCTGATTTCTCCTTCTCTTCTTCCCTCCATGCCGCCCGCTCTGCTGATCAGATTCATCCCTTCTTCCTCCTGGCGTATGTAATCACTCTGTCCTGCACTCCTCCTGGTACCTCAGGCTTCCCTCAACAAGTCTAAACTCCCTCGCAAGGGCTCAGTCAGATTGCTGTTAGCTTCTCCTACTGCTAGTTCCCTTCGGATTAGGAAAGCAAATTGCAGTAAACGAGAAACATACAAGCAAAAAGCAAGAAGCCCGAGTGCTACTCCTGCCTACATCTATTCCCACCCCTGCCTAGGTTGCTTCCTCCACAAGCAAGCTCCTGTGCACCAAGCGAGTCAGCCGGGCTGCTCGCGAGGTCTCCAAGGTGCTAGCTGTGTCCCCACTGGGCCCACTAGGCATGCACCGCCTTCCAGCCTGGTGACTTCGAATTGAATTCCCAGGCTGGCATTGAATTCGCCTGCCAGCCTTGTGACTTCGAAATTGAATTCACAGGCTGGAATTGAATTCGCCTCCACCAACCTCCTTGAATTCGCCTCCCCCTAACCACCTCAAATTCCCCAGCTACTCGGCTCTGCAGTACAGTACAATACATTCCAAGCACACAAATGAAATTAGAGTACAAAGCGGTAAACTATAGTACACCCTCACCTTGGCTGCTGTGGTATTCACACTTAGTTGCCAGCTAAGTGTTAATAACGCGACAGCTGTCGTGAATCCTCCTCTGTCCACCCTCATTCCCTCTCATCCCTGCGTATCCTGCTGATTTCTCCTTCTCTTCTTCCCTCCATGCCGCCCGCTCTGCTGATCAGATTCATCCCTTCTTCCTCCTGGCGTATGTAATCACTCTGTCCTGCACTCCTCCTGGTACCTCAGGCTTCCCTGCCCCCTCCCGTGTCTCAGCGCCCATTTTTGCCGCTCGAGTCACGGGACCCACTGCCTGAGGCTTCCCTTGTCCCGCCCTGGCCACGTTGGTGATGTGTTCCTTGATGGTCCCCCCTCGAATATCCTCCAGCACTAACACTCCCGAGCCTCGTACCTCTTTCACCTTCCACCGCTCCGATCCCACCGCTAAGTCCAGCGTGTCGCGCTTAGCTTTGCGAAGGTATACTTCCTGCCCTGCCTCCACCTTGTCACCCTTTCCCCCTATCCCTGATGCTTTACGCTGCTGGTATCGTCTTGCGTCACGCAGCTGCGCCACATGGAGGTTATCCAGGGCTGCCGGAGTCAGCTCCTTCAAGTATTTTGCCCTCCGCTGTGCTAACTCCGCCCACAGGTTTGGCTCATCTGCCTCTATAACCGCAGACAGCAGTTTCGGTGCATCGACCGGCAGCACAGGATCCCGCCCGAACAGTAAGTGGTATGGGGATAGGTTTCTCAGAGCCGCCTGCTTTGCGAACCTGTACCCCGCCAGCACCCACCAGAGATCTCGGTCCCAATTCCTTTTGTGGGACTCACTGTAGGCCCGAAGTCCTTTCTTCAAGGTCTGTATGAGCCTCTCGGTCAGTCCGTCCGATTGAGGATGGTACCTAGAGGTGACCCTGTGCGTGATACCCATCTCTTCTAGCAGCTCGTCAAAGCTCCCTTGAAACTCTGTCCCTTGATCAGTGAGTACCTCCCCGCATGCCCCATACCTGGTGAGCACCAGCTCCTCAAAAGCGTCAGCTATCAGTGCGCTGTTCTTGCTTGGTAATGCTCGCGCCTCCACCCATTTACTCGTGTGCTCAACCATCACCAGAATGTACTGCCTCCCTCCTTTCGACAGCGGCAACTCTCCTGCGAGGTCCAACGACCACCTGTAGCCCAACCCGCGAATGGGTAAGGAATGCAGCTCATCTCTCTCTTTCTCCAACCGAGCATTATTCCTCTGACATGCCTCGCAGCTCGCCACTAATCCTGCCACATCTTTTCCCATGCTCGCCCACCAGTACATGGTGCTCAGCAGCTGCCGCGTTCTGGTTATGCCGTAGTGCCCCAGCTTCGCGTGCACATTCCCCATAATCTTGGCTCTCTCCTGTGGTTGTGGCACCACCTTCCACCCTTCGTTGGTTCTCAGCTGCAGCTGTTCCTGAAACCACCTGAAATGCTGCCCTCGGGCCCTGGCTCTCTCGCTCACTCCTTCCTCCTCTAGTGGCTCCCCTTTGATCCAGCTCAGGGTCTCCGCATCCTCCCATATGTCCCCTAACCGCTTCTTTCCCTTCTCCTGCCCCCAAGGTACTGCCGCTACTTGAGCCAGGGCTGCCAGCTGCGCTACCGGCTGCATCGGTGGCGGGTTCCTTGATAACCCATCTGCGTGCTGCAGCGTTTTCCCAGGTCGGTGTCGTATCTCAAAGTCGAATCCCAGCAGCTTAATGGCCCAGCGAGCGTTTCTCCCAGTTAGCTCCTGATGGGTCATCAACCACAGCAGCGGCTGGTGGTCAGTCACAAGTGTGAAGTGCCGACCCTGCAGGTATACCTTGAAGTGAGTGATCCCCCATACAGCTGTCAAGCCCTCCCCTTCGTACGAGCAGTAGTTAGCCTCTGATGGGCTGCAGCTGCGGCTGGCGAAGGCTACCACTCTTTCCTCTCCTTCTATCTCTTGGCAGAGCACTGCCCCCATTCCTGTGCTGCTCCAGTCAGTGTATAAGATGAAAGGGGCATCTGCCCTCGGTATCTGCAGCAGCGTTCCCGTCCGTACTGCTTCCAGCAGGTCCTGCCTTGCCGTTTCCTCTAGCTCTCCCCACTGCCAGCTCCTCCCTTCCTTCAGCAGCTGATTCAATGCATAGGCTCGGCGGCTGAAGTTCGGTACAAACTTCCTGTAATAATTCAGGAAGCCAAGTAGCGCCCGCAGCCCAGTCTTGTCCTTTGGTGCTGCCAGGTTCTCCAGCACCTTAACTTTTGCTTCCTGTATCGCCAGCCGGCCCCCTTTCACTTCAAAGCCCAGGTAAGCCACGGTCTGCCTTGCTATCTTGCACTTGTCTGGATGGCACGTCAGACCCGCAGCTGCTATTGCCTCTAGCGTCCGCTTCAGGTCTTGCACGTGCTGCTCTTCACTGCTGCTGAAAATGAGTATATCATCTATGTAGCAGGCTGCTGCTGGAATCCCCTTCAGCACCTGATCCATGGCCCGCTGGAACACTGCAGGGGCGTTGCGTATCCCGAAGGGCATCACATTGTACTCATACAGCCCATCCACCCCGTGAAACGCCGTCTTCCGCTTGTCTTCCTCCCTGATGGCTATTTGGTTGAACCCCTGTCGCAGGTCCAAGGTGGTGAAGATGATGGCGCCCTCTAAACGATCGAAGATGTCTTCAGCAGTTGGCATCGGATACCTATCTGGACTAGTGATCTTGTTCAGCTCCCTAAAGTCCCCGCACATCCTCTTTGCCAGTACCTTCCCCGTGATGTCTTTCCTAGCGGCTACCACTGTGGCTGCGGCGTAGCTCGATTCTGACGGGCGGATAATCCCTGCAGCTAGCAGCTCTTCGCACTTCTCCTTACACATGGCTGCATCCTCTGCATTCATCCTCCTCCTGCGCTGGTATGTGGGCAGCTCCGTGGTGAGGTTCAGCTCCAGCTCTCTCCCCTTATACCTCCCCAGCTCTAACAAGTTGTACGCGAAAGTGCTCCTGTGTTGCCGTAGTACCTCCTGAATTGCAGCTGCGGTTTGCTCCCCTATGCCAGCTCCTAATTCCCAGTCTTTGCTTGGCTCTGCTTCCTTGCCCCCTGCGGTCATGGGGTCAGCCTCTGTCCCTGCCGTGGTCTTACTGAGAGCTACATATGATGCTTGCTTGATGCCTTGTCCCTGTTCAGTCCCTGCCTTTCCTCTCCTGCTGGTCGGCCCCTTTCTCATCTCCCCAACTAACCATCTCAATGTGTGCTGGTCTATAGCTCTGCCTAGAGCCGCCCTGCGTGCTGCTTCTCCCATTCCCTCCGCAGCCGTTGCCCCCGGCAGGTAGCCCATGGCTAATTCCGCTCCCTAAGGCCGTCGGCTCTTCCCACTTCTTCTTTCGGTAGTCGTACACCATCCCTGGACCGGGTATCCCATCCACCTCCACGAACCCCCGAGCCTGAGGGTAGGCTACCAACGTCGGCCAAGCTCTCCGTGCCTCTCCCACCCGGTTACACTGGTACTGCCGCGGATGATCTGGTTTTACCACTAGGCGGCGACTCTGCCAGGTTCCAGAATGTCTCCCACTATCCGAGTCTCATCCCGCTCCACTCTTGCTAGCCTTGCTCTCAGCTCCCCTTCTGGCAGGACATTCTGCCAAAACTGTCGCACTCGGTGGCACCATGCCCCCAGCTGCGCACCATCACAGCTCACTCCCCTACCCAGTTCTGCCTCCACCAGCTCTCGCACTGCTCGGACTGGCTCCCTCGCATCTCCTCTCATATCCACATGCTCCAGTATGTAAGCATATTCTCCTCCTGCTTCTCTCGCCCACCTCATGATTGACAGAAGAGCGGACAACATGGCTGTACGTTCATCCTGCAAGCCCTTCCCTTTTCCTGCTCTGGAAGTGCCCTGGCATTCCCATCCTGCCACGAGTAAATCCACCTTTCCCCAGCTGCTAACATCTTCTTTGGTAAGCTGCCCCACGTCCCACTTTTTGTTCTGCATGGCTTCCCGTAACACTCCCCTTGTCAGCTGCGCCGGGTACTGCTGTTGCAGCATCAGAGCATGATTCCAAGCCATCCTCCTCACTTCTGGGTCTAACTCCACATATACCCACTTTTTCACTTTCAGTCCGGCTTCCAGTGCTGCTGCCAAGCCTGCTCCCAGCCCCCCGAACAGCTCCACCAAGGTAATACTGTACTGATCTAAGCTAGCGGTAACATTCTCCTTTTCTGAACTCCTTCCTTGCAAGCTTTCCCTCCTCCCTCCTTCTGCCCTCCAGGCCTTCTTCGGTTCGGTCTTAACGAATCGTACCGGCAACTCACTCAACTCCTTCCCTTCTTCTCGGAAGTCTGGGCGGTAGAGCACCTGTTCTTGCCAAGTATAAATCATGGTACCTATCTTAAACAGCAGCTCCATTCCCAGTAAGATGTCGTAGTCTTCTGATTCGGTCAGCCCGCATTGCACTCTAATCTTCGTCTCCCCTTTCTCCCCGGGCCGCAGCGTTATCTCGATCGGTTCTCGCGTACAGGGCATCCATTTGGGGGCCCCGCCGTCGGCTGTCATGATCAGTATGCCTTTGCTCACGATCTCCAACTCTCCCTGGGCACGCAGCTGCTCTGTCAGCTTCTTTCCAATCAGCACGCTTTGTGCCCCCGTATCCACCACTGCGTTTTCCACCAGTATTCCCCGTACTGCTACTGCTTTGGGTTCCACTACTAAGGCTGTAGGCTGGCAAACGAGCCGTTCTTCAAGGTGACGACGCGCCGTCCTTGGGCTTCCACTCCCTTCCGGCTTCTCTTCTCCCGTTGTTTCTGCTCTGCCCTACCGTCCACTCCTTTACTGCGCAGCCCCAGATCCCCTCTTTCCCTCGGTGGTATAGCCATCGTCCCATACTCAGGCTCTCCCTCATCAGACTCCTCCCCTTCATCATCCTCCCAAGCCAGCAGCGCCTTCTCCGGATCCTCGCTGATCTCTGCCTTCTCCATTTGAGCTTTCAGTTTAGCCAGCTCCCGTTCCAGCTGTAACTCCCTTGCTGATTTCCCTTTCGTCCGCTCTCCCTTACTGTAACATCTGGCTTCCGTATGTCCCCTTTTCCCGCAGCCAGTACATATTGGCGCCTTGGGGCAATCCCGTCTAAAGTGCCCCTTTGCTCCGCAGGTATCGCATGTTATCCCCACCGCACAATCCCTACGCAGATGCCCCTGCTCCCCACATTTATGACAGCGCCTTGTATCTTCTGGAGGCCTGTCTCTTCGCTCCTCCTCTCCCCTTCTGCCCTCCACTGCTGCCCAAGCTGGTCTTCTCCGCTCGGTCGGCCGACTGGAACTCGACCCCTGCATGCCATCATAAAACCGCTTCCCTTCTTCCACTTCTTTCGCCACCTGGTATACCTGCCGCAGCGTGGCTCGTACTCCCAGGGAGAATAGCCGGCTCCTCATGTCACTTATCAAATCTTTATCCAGTCCGTTGACAAATTTAGTCACCAAGATACGTTCTTCCATGCAGCCCATGTCCTCTGCCAGCTCCAGCAGCCTGTTGTAATAGGCCAGCAGCGACTCTGGAGTGGCTCGAATGAAGTTCTGAAATTCTGCCATCCTGTCTGCCGAATGCCCCAGGAATTGTTCTTGCAGGCTTTCCAAAAATTGGTCCGTGATCATCGCAGCTGGGAGGTCTCCTCTCTTATTCTGCATCAGCAGCCCCTGCCTTTCCACACGGTAATGCGTCAGCGCTTCTCCCTTAAGAGTCCTCCCCAAACCTCTGAAAAATTCGATGGGATCCAGCCCTTCCCTATCCCAGCAGTAGCGGATGTCTTCTATCATCATGAGGTAGTTCTTTAGCGTGGGCTCTTCTCCTGGCGTCCCCGAGAAGCGATCTGGCACCTCGATTTTCGGTGGTGCAGCGTTCATCGATCTGCCAGTCCCCCAGCTCGTCGTCCCTCTTTCTCCACTCCCAGCAGGCCGACCTCCTCTTCCGGCCTCCATGGCTTCGTACGCACCCGCTGAGAATCCATGATAGTGTTCTCCTCCTCTCTGACTTCGCCGCTCTTCTTGCTGGTCGTCTCCTTCTCTCAGGCTTCGTCGTTCTTCATGGTGATCGTCTCCTCCTTTCTGACTTCGCCTTTCTTCGTAATTATCTTCCCCTCCCAAATCAGGAGGTCCTCGTCGAGGTCCAGTCCCCACAGGGCGAATTCCGCTTCCGCCTGCCGGTGAATCACAAGCTGAGCTGAGCAGTTGTTCTCTCAGTCCGCTCCCTTCCTTCTCCCGATCCGATCCTTGATGGCCACGTACATTGTTATCTCCCTCTCCCGCGCGAAATCCAGGCGTCCTAATCGGCGGATCACGTCCCTCCATCATCCTCGCAGGGAATCGGTGACCCGAGCGCAGTTGATGAGTATGAAGCTCCTGATCAAATTCACTCATGCCTCACGGCGCATCACCGTGCTCTACTCCAGGCGGTCAAGCCTGTCCCCTGTACTCTAGACAGTCGTAAGCCTTTTTGCTTGTATGCAACAAGTCTAAACTCCCTCGCAAGGGCTCAGTCAGATTGCTGTTAGCTTCTCCTACTGCTAGTTCCCTTCGGATTAGGAAAGCAAATTGCAGTAAACGAGAAACATACAAGCAAAAAGCAAGAAGCCCGAGTGCTACTCCTGCCTACATCTATTCCCACCCCCTGCCTAGGTTGCTTCCTCCACAAGCAAGCTCCTGTGCACCAAGCGAGTCAGCCGGGCTGCTCGCGAGGTCTCCAAGGTGCTAGCTGTGTCCCCACTGGGCCCACTAGGCATGCACCGCCTTCCAGCCTGGTGACTTCGAATTGAATTCCCAGGCTGGCATTGAATTCGCCTGCCAGCCTTGTGACTTCGAAATTGAATTCACAGGCTGGAATTGAATTCGCCTCCACCAACCTCCTTGAATTCGCCTCCCCCTAACCACCTCAAATTCCCCAGCTACTCGGCTCTGCAGTACAGTACAATACATTCCAAGCACACAAATGAAATTAGAGTACAAAGCGGTAAACTATAGTACACCCTCACCTTGGCTGCTGTGGTATTCACACTTAGTTGCCAGCTAAGTGTTAATAACGCGACAGCAGCCCCATGGTGGTGCGCAAGGTGGGAAGGAAAAAGGCACTCACCTTGATGGTATGGTGCACGAGCAGCAGAGTGCACAGGTGTGGACACGGAAGACACAGTGGAGGAGACGGTGGAGGTGGTGGGTGAGGCGGGGAGAGGAAGACCCATGGAGGTCCCTGAGAGGCTCCTCTCCTCCTCCGTGCTCTCTGAGGCACTAGATCCAAACGGTGCCACTTGCTGGTGGTGAGAAGAGGGGAGAAACAGGGAGGAGAAGATGGGGTAGAGGCAGTGAGCGAGGCGGGCAGGGGCAGCCTCATGGTGGTGCCTGAGATCCTCCTCTCTTGAATTGAATCAGCAAACGATGCAGGCGGAGGGAAGAGGTTGGGGAGGGGCAGGCCCGTGGTGGTGCCTGAGAGGCTCCTTTCCTCCTCCGTGCTCTCTGAGGCACTAGATCCAAACGATGCCACTTGCTGGTGGTGAGGAAAGAGGCGAACGGGGCTGGATGGGGAGGGGAGAATCATGAGGCCTACAGTCATGAGATCGACATGCCACGACTGACGCAGGTGAGGGAGAAGGAGGCGCCAGACAGTGCTTGCTGTTACAAAGGAAGCAGTTGCACCATGAGGTATACACAGGCTGATATGAAGCACGCCATACCATGAGGTTGACGTGCCACAGGCTGACGCAGGTGTGGGAGAAGAACATAAGGGATATCAGAGACATACGATGATGGGATCTAGACCATACCATGGCACCATGCTGGCCCACACCATACCATACCATGAGGTCCACGTGCGAGAACGAGGCGCCATACAGCCTGCTGCTATATGGGGAAACGCTGTACCATGGACTCTACACAAGCACAGGCTGACATGAAGCATGCACTTTATACTTGGTGCCATACCATGATGGATTGTACACCATACCATGGCACCATGACAGCCCACACCATACCATGAGGTCGACGTGCCACAGGCTGACGCAGGTGTGCGAGAAGGAGGAGCCGTACAGCCTGCTTGCTGTTATATAAGGAAACGTTGTACCATGAGGTAAAAAACAAGCAAATATAAAGCATGCCATACCATGAGGTCGACGTGCCACAGGCTGACGTGTGCGAGAAGGAGGCGCTCTAGTGGATGCAAGCCAGCCATACAATACATGTCATATAACACACGTACCATGAGGTCGACGTGCCACAGGCTGACGTGTGCGAGAAGGAGGCGCTCTAGTGGATGCAAGCCAGCCATACAATACATGTCATATAACACACGTACCATGAGGTCGACGTGCCACAGGCTGACGTGTGCGAGAAGGAGGCGCTCTAGTGGATGCAAGCCAGCCATACAATACATGTCATATAACACACGTACCATGAGGTCGACGTGCCACAGGCTGACGTGTGCGAGAAGGAGGCGCTCTAGTGGATGCAAGCCAGCCATACAATACATGTCATATAACACACGTACCATGAGGTCGACGTGCCACAGGCTGACGCAGGTGTGCGAGAAGGAGGCGCCGTACAGCCTGCTTGCTGTTATATGAGGAAACGTTGTACCATGCAGTATACACAGACGGACAAGAAACCATGCCATACCATGAGGTCGACGTGCCACAGGCTGACACAGGTGTGCGAGAAAGAGGCGCCGTACAGCCTGCCCTCGTGGATGCTGACGTCAGCTACCTTGGACCATCCCACGCTGACCGTGTCGAAGCAGCGCACGGGCTCCCACCCCCACACCTGCAAATGGGAGGCGAAGTGGTGGAGAGAGGTGAAGAGAGGTGAAGAGGATGGGGTGGCAATGAGGTGTGTCTCTAAGCACCCTGGCCCATCCCACACTGACCGTGTCGAAGCACCGCACGGGCTCCCACCCCCACACCTGTGGATGAAAGGTGAAGTGGTGGAGAGAGGTGAAGCGGTGGAGAGAGGTGAAGAGAGTTGAAGAGGATGGGGTGGGAATGAGGCGTGGCTCTAGCCAACCTGGACCATCCCTCACTGACTGTGTCGAAGCAGGGCACGGGCTCCCACCCCCACACCTGTGGATGAAAGGTGAAGTGGTGGAGAGAGGTGAAGAGAGTTGAAGAGGATGGGGTGGGAATGAGGCGTGGCTCTAGCCAACCTGGACCATCCCTAACTGACTGTATCGAAGCAGGGCACGGGCTCCCACCCCCACACCTGTGGATGAAAGGTGAAGTGGTGGAGAGAGGTGAAGAGAGTTGAAGAGGATGGGGTGGGAATGAGGCGTGGCTCTAGCCAACCTGGACCATCCCTCACTGACTGTGTCGAAGCACGGCACGGGCTCCCAACCCCACACCTGTGGATGGGAGGAAGAAGAGGTAATCAGAGGAAGATGGAGTGGAGGAGGGAGGGATTGCTCTCGAGCTGTCTGCCCCTTTGCACCATCCCACACTGACCGGGTCAAACAGCACATGGGCTCCCATCCCCACACCTGCGGATGGGAGGAAGGTAATCAGAGGAAGATGGAGTGGAGGAGGGAGGGATTGCTCTCGAGCTGTCTGCCCCTTTGCACCATCCCACACTGACCGGGTCAAACAGCACATGGGCTCCCATCCCCACACCTGTGGATGGGTTTGAAGAATCAGGGATGGTAAAGTCTGTTGAATCTTTTGAGGCACCTTAAAAGAAGAATCAGGGATAGTGAAGTCGGTTGATTCTTGGGTCATCAACATGACTGAAACATGGAGTGGAGGAGGGAGGGATTGTCCAAGAACCGTCAGCCACTGGGCATGTGAAGCAGTGCATGGGCTCCCCCAGGAACTCTCACCTTGAGCGAATCAGTGGAGGAAGCTAGCAATGCTTGGCCTGGCCATCAGGAGTGAAGGCCAGTGAGCGAGCACATGCCACTGGCCTGCAGTGGAGACAAGTCGTTTGGAGCAGCACTGAACCCACCTTGAGAGAGTCGGCGGAGGGAGCACGCAACACAGAACCCACCTTGAGCGAATCAGCAGAGGGAGCTAGCAATGCCTGGCCGTCAGGAGTGAAGGCCAGAGAGCGCATGCCACTGGCCTGCAATGGAGGCGGATAGTAGGAGACATGTGTGGGGGAACAATGCAGACACATGCACAGGGGGGCAGAAGGGCACACAAGGTCACACAGGGCCACAGACAGGACGAAGCAGGCCAGCAGGAGGATCAAACAATGTGCTGTTAGTGGAAGCTGTGATGTGTGCACTTAACCTTAAACCCTAAACCATCCTGCCGTGCTTGCTCCTCCTTTCCTACCTCCACTGCTCTAAACCCACCTCCACCCCTTTTCGCCTACCTCCGCGCCTGTGGACCCCACCAGCTCAAACGTCTCCAGGTCCCAGAACTTGCATCGCACGTGTGAGTGGGATTCAGTGGAGAGCATTGCGGTGTTAGTGTGAGCTGTGTGCACTATGCACTCATCAATAGCACACCTCTGCACCCTATCTCCACTCCTGCCACTGCCATCCTACCTCTGTATGCACTCCTTAACAACACACCTCTGTGCCTGTAGACCCCACCAGCTCGAACGTCTCCAGGTCCCAGAGCTTGCACATGCGGTCACTGGAGCCTCGTGCAACTGCACATCATAACACCTGGTCTTTACCTCTGCTCCTATTTCCCCACCTCCACTCCTCTTAACCTAGCTCCACCGCTTGTTACCGTACCTCTGTGCCTGTGGATCCCACCAGCTCGAAGGTCTCCAGGTCCCAGAGCTTGCACATGCGGTCACTGGAGCCTCGTGCAACTGCACGTCATAGACACCTGGTCTTTACCTCTGCTCCTATTTCCCCACCTCCACTCCTCTTAACCTAGCTCCACCGCTTGTTACCGTACCTCTGTGCCTGTGGATCCCACCAGCTCGAAGGTCTCCAGGTCCCAGAGCTTGCACATGCGGTCACTGGAGCCTCGTGCAACTGCACGTCATAGACACCTGGTCTTTACCTCTGCTCCTATTTCCCCACCTCCACTCCTCTTAACCTAGCTCCACCGCTTGTTACCGTACCTCTGTGCCTGTGGATCCCACCAGCTCGAAGGTCTCCAGGTCCCAGAGCTTGCACATGCGGTCACTGGAGCCTCGTGCAACTGCACGTCATAGACACCTGGTCTTTACCTCTGCTCCTATTTCCCCACCTCCACTCCTCTTAGCCTAGCTCCACCGCTTGTTACCGTACCTCTGTGCCTGTCGATCCCACCAGCTCGAATGTCTCCAGGTCCCAGAACTTGCATGCACATGCGGTCACTAGAGCCTAGTGCATGTGCACCCATATACACATGCATACATGAGCACCCATCTCCACCCCTTGTTACCGTACCTCCGTGCCTGTGGATCCCACTAGCTCGAACGTCTCCAGGTCCCAGAACTTGCATGTGCGATCACTGGAGCCTGGTGTATGTACAGAGATGCACACATGGACACATGCACATGTGCAACACACATGCACGCATGCACACATGGACACACACGCACACATGGACACACATGCACACACGTGCATACGCATGCACACATGCACACCCATCCACACCCATGCACACGCATGCACTCACATTCACACACATGCACTCACATGCACGCACATGCACACCAAATGCACACAGGCACTCACATGCACTTATATGCACACACGTGCACACACACGCATACCCATGCACACACATGCAATCACATCCATGCACACACGTCAAGTTAGCGGAACAGAAGGAATAAGGTGAGTTTCAGGGCAAGTAAGAAGGAGAGATACAAGGAAAGCCACACTCTCACGAGACGAAGCCAGATACTCCCAGGAGACGAGACAAGACGAGACGAGACTCTAAGGGCACATACGGAAGACACTCTCTGCAGGCGAAGAACGTTTTTGAGAATTCTCAAAAACACCCTTCACACTCTCACGAGACATCTCCAGATACTCCCAGGAGACGAGACGAGACTCTAAGGGCACGCACGGCAGACACTCTCTGCAGGCGAAGAGTCGAGCAAGGGAGGAAAAGGCAGCACTGACAGCGGCACTGACAGCAAGCGAGGGAGAGAAAGCAGGCCCTTACAACTGGCGAGGAGCAGCTCGTGCGGGTGGAAGGTGAGGCAGGTAATAGGTGGAGGGTTAGATGGGCAAGATAGAGAGGAAGCGAGGAGGAGAGAGACAGGACGGGATCTCACAGCTAGCAAGGAGCAGCTCATGCGGGTGGAAGGTGAGGCAGGTGACGGCGTCGTGGTGGTGCTTGAACTCGTGCAGCACCTTGCCCCCCTGCACGTC